CTATATCCTCTGGCTTGACCTCTGTGTACATAATTTTGATGCTTTTTGTTTGGACAATCTCTAACAAAATGTCCCTCTCTACCACATTCAAAACACTTTCCTTGTACACCTTTTCCAACACTAAATGCACAATTTTTTCTATCAAAGGTTACCGGCTGACTGTATTTAAATTTCAACTCGGCATCTAAGAGACGGGTTATTACAAATTCTAAAGTAATGCTTGTGTTGACAGTTTCAATGGCAGTTATCATTGTGTCATATTTCTCTGCCATTGTCATCAATAAATAACATGCCTTGTCTGTCTCATCAAGTTAAGCACCTGCTGCCTCTTGCTCTCTTAGCAGAACCTCCACCTGGATAAAATGATCTTGAAGGTCGTCAGAAGTACACTTTAATCTAAATAACTTTTTCATTATAAACAATTTTGAAAGAGGACTTTTCCTTTCAAAAACATTCTATAGGGACTTCATCATGGCATGCGACGTCTTGGCATCTTTTATCTATTCCAAGTGCTTATCTGAAACACACTGTACTATAATACATTTGGCCTTGCCGTCCCTCTTTAAATGAGCAGCTTTTTCATCTGTGTTCAGGGTCTGGAACTGGTCATCTTTCACCTCTATAGCACTCTAACATTTTCCTTATCCAACAATACCTGCACTCGAAACTTCCAGTTAGAATAATTTGTACTGGACAATTGAGGAAATGGTAAAACTGATGCAGCCATTTTCACAATACTTGACGACTTCAAAAAACAAACTGTTTTTTGAAGTAACGAAGATATAAATTTCACTGATTTCGTTTAAATATTTCATTTATTACTACACACCATAAATTATTGATGACAGACTGACAACTTTTTTTGACAAAATCATTTTTACTGGTTAATTTAACATAACAATTCTCGTTAGTTTAAAAACTACACGTTTCAGGTGAATGTCTTACTTAAACATTTCAACAGTATATTGGTGAGTAGAAGGCTGAGGAACTCGCTGCGCTCGTCCCGCAGAGGTCCACCTATAAGTTCCGCAACAATCTACTTATTTGTACTTGAATAATAACTTATTATATAAAGTCAGAATTTGTAAGATTTTCCATTTTTTGTCAATTCGCCTTTCAACAGGAATTAGTAATGTTACTTGACCAAACTAGTAACATAATGTGACAAGTTATTCAAGTACAAACGAGTGGATTGTTGCGGACCTTATGAGTGGACCCACCCATCTATTCACCAATATGTTGTTCAAGTACGATACTAACTTGATTCACTCAAATGTGAGTTATTCTCATTAGTTTAAAAAGTACATGTTTCAGGTGAGTGTCTTATTTGAACAGTTCAACAGTATATTGGAGAGTAGATGGCTGAGGAACTCGCTGCGCTCGTCCCGCAGAGGTCTACCCATAAGTTCCGCAACAATCTAATTATTTGTACTTGAATAATAACTTATTATATAAAGTCAGAATTTGTAAGATTTTCCATTTTTTGTCAATTCGCCTTTCAACAGGAATTAGTAATGTTATTTCACCAAACTAGTATTATATTGTGACAAGTTATTCAAGTACAAACGAGTGGACTGTTGCGGAACTTATCTGATTCACTTAGTTGTGAATTTTTCACATTAGTTCAAAAACTACACGATTCAGGTAAGTCTCCTATTTGAACAGTTCAACAGTATATTGGTGAGTAGATGGCTGCGGAACTCGCTGCGCTCGTCCCGCAGAGGTCCACCCATAAGTTCCGCAACAATCCACTTATTTGTGCAGGGTGTTTTTTTATATATCGACACCCCACCTACAGCCTTTACCTTTACAGGTAGAAGAAAGGTGTAAATACATAAGTTGTACAGCTGAATTTTCAGAAACCATGGTCAGAAACAAAATTTGAATGTCAGAAATGTGAAATTTTGCATGCTTCCAGCTTTTTTCAAATGGGATGCCCTATATATTTCATTCTATTCTATATTCTTGAAGGGCACAATGCCCCGATCTATATTTGATTGAGCAATCTCTCATATATTCGGCTCCAAAAATTGTAAAAATACCATCCTACTACTGATTTTGTGAACCATTCTACCTGTACAGGTGAAAGCTACAGGTAAAATTTGAGGTTCTTGGTTTCTCTGATAGTATTTTTAAAATTTTTAGAACCAAATATGTTGGAGACAGGCTCAACCAATTATAGATAAACTACATAGTTTTGGAATCGGGAAAATGTGCTCATCAAGAATATACAACCAAATATAGGGCACCCCGTTCGAAAAAAGCTGAGAGCATGCAATATTTCACATTTCTGACATTCAAATTTTGTTTCTGACCATTAATGGATTCTAAAAATTTAGCCAATACTGTACAGGGTGGCCCAAATTCGAGCCTCATCATTGGGATCTCGGTAACCGTAAGAGATACGGGGTCGGCTAAATTATGGCAAAGTTGCGCAATTTTATGACCAATAGAATGCTGTTTTGAAACTAGAAAGATTCCGAATACTTCCGGAGATATTCGGAAAAAACCGAAATTCTGTAAAATCGTTTTTATTTTTTCCCGGGCTTATTTGAAGAGCAATTTTGAAATAAATGTCACTCCATCATTGTCACTTTTTCCCCTTTAGAAGATAGTGCTGCTAAATTTAAAGTTCGACGTTTCGTCTTCAGGCAGCCATCCTCAACTTCCTTTTTTTAAATACGGACCTGGATTTTTTATTCGCGATTTTGTCATCTTTGGGCATCCTAAAACCGATACTGTTTATAATTTTTCAATAACACTGTAAAAAAAGCAGGTCCGTATTTAAATAAAAAAATAAATTGATCATGATTCCAGAGGAACGAAACGTTGGATTTTAAATTTAATACCGCGATCTTGTAGAGACAAAAAGTGACAATGGGAATGTAAAATTATTTTTTCACAAACTTTTTAAATAAAATCAGGAAAAAAATGAAAACTATACGAAAAAAACATGAATTTCTTGTTTTTCTTAAATTTTTTCCTGATTCCATTTAAAAAGATTTTGAAAAACTAATTTCACATTCCCATTGTCACTTTTTTTTCTCTATAAGATGGCGGTATTAAATTTGAAATCCAACGTTTCGTTCCTCTAGAATAATCATCAATTTATTTGTTTTAAATACGCACCTGCTTTTTTTACTGTGTTATTGAAAAATTATAAACATTATCGGTTTTAGGATGCCCAAAGATGACAAAATCGCAAATAAAATATCCAGGTCCGTATTTAAAAAAAGTAAGTTGATGATGGCCGCCTGAAGACGAAACTTCGAATTTTAAATTTAGTAGCACCATCTTCTGAAGGGGAAAAAGTGACAATGATGAAGTGACATTTATTTTAAAATTGCTCTTCAAATAAGCCCAGGAAAAAAAAAAAACGATTTTACAAAATTTCGATTTTTTTCGAATATCTCCGGAAGTATTCGGAATATTTCTGATTTCAAAACGACATTCTATTGGTCATAAAATTGCGCAACTTTGCCATAATTTGACCGACCCCGTATCTCTTACGGTTTCCGAGATCCCAATGATGAGGCTCGAATCTGGGCCACCCTGTACAACTTTTGTATTTACACCTTTCATCTACCTGTAAAGGTAAAGGCTGTAGGTAGGGTGTCAATATATAAAAAAACACCCTGTACATACTTGAAAATTTGCAAAAATAATTATAAGTTTTTTAGTCTCATTAACATTTCATTGAAATGGAGAGAAAACAAAAACTACGAGATAAGATTGAGTTTCCGAGTGCTTTCCTCAATTAGTCGCAAACATATTAGTAACTTTTCCATAGTGCAATCAGAAACTTTGTAATTAGAGACTGAGCTTTACTAATTACTAAGCAATGAGTGGTCGCTTCTTCAATTCACTCGTTTACAGGTCAGAATCGTATTTCGACGTGGTTGAATTGTTGCGAAATTTTAGAGGTGAGGAATGGAACTCTGAAGGACGAAAGCAACAAGTGAATCTTTACTCATTAATAAGCTATTGGTACAAATACGATACTGTCTTGCCTGAACATAAGTAGAATAAAGAAGTGAGTATTATTTATTACTTCTAGAACTAAGCAATTCACTCGTTTTCAAATCAGTAGGTATCTATCCTAATTGAATAGGTAGCTTAATAATAAATGAAATTTTCTCATGTTCACAGGCAATTTACTAAATAATTATTTTTTCAAGTAATGAAGCCTATTGGAGGGAATAGTTTTAGGTACTCATTATTTCTAAAATTATTCATTGTCAAACTTTTTGTTTTCAAGTTATGGATGTACCTAACCCACCATCCCCGGTCTCCCCTACCTAGATATTTTTGTTAGGCTCATATTCTTAAAGTCTAGTCTTATTAATAGTGATTTTTGTTCCAGTCAGTTACTAATAAAACAATTTAAATTCATTTAAACTGTAGTTAACAAACAAGCAAATTTGCAATTTATTTATTTTTTTCACGGACTATTAAACGTAAAACGATTTCCATACTGAATTAATAATAGTTTGTTCATAAACGAAACTTAAGGCGCACTTTACAGTACTTAATAATAATTAATTGGCTATAGGTACTTAAGTGATGGAATAAGTGGGCATGTATATTGTATACATAATATTGTCATTATCAAGCAAATATTTTTGAAAGTCTACCAATTAAATTTGGTTGAAGTTGTTTGGAAATTTTTGAAGGGGTTATCAGGAGGTTTGACTTGACTTTTTCTTTTCTCTAGTTGTGATAATTATCTCACTTTATCAACACATTTGAAAGAATCTAAGAAATTAGTATTAATTATAGCAATATAAATTAACACTATTTTGTTGTTGATCCGCAAAGCAACAAGATTTTTTTTTCTAATTTCTGATTCAGCAATAAAGCAACACGTATCTACCTAAAATTTGAACCTCAGTTCATCATAAATAAACGAAAAATTATGTGTTTACTTTCGAATTAACACGTTAACAGAACACGCATTCATCAAGAAAAATACTTTCAAAAAAAAAATTTCATGCACCTACCTGATGCGCTACTAAAATGCCAAACAAATAATTCCAAAGTACCCCGAAACACATAATTAAAGAAAAAAAGTTAAGTTCAAAATTTTGTTATTTTTCTAATCATAGATCGTTAAGCTTAATTTAAACAAAAATCAACGCATGTGACACTTTCTATGAAGATGTTTACGTGCGGCGCGGAGCAAATACCCGTACGCTTATCCGTATTTCAAACATTCACCGATTACGGTCGGAGGCGAAGTTTGAATGGATTTGCGCGCCTTTAGGACGTCTGGACGTCGCATCGCCGGGCGAAATTGCGCGCGATTGCGCCTGCTTTAGTTTGCGACGTCGGCGTCTAGGTTGCGCACCGGAAGGTTCAATTTCTATTGGAGTCTTTGATTTGATACTAGATGGCGAAAGGTAATATTGGATTGGTGATCTATAGGACGTTCCTACAAAAACGATTTTTATCCAAAGATCTTATAGCTCAATTGCTTGTTTTATTTAACTACAATAGTTGATTGAAACACGTAATGGAAATAAGAGTAGCTTCTTATTCTTCTTTTTCTTCTCCTTCTTTACCATATTATCATTCCATTCCATGTTTGGATACGTGGATGTACTTTTGTGGTTAGTTTCTGGTTGTCTATCCACCAGCTCATCTGTGAACTACCTCTGGATTTGTAACCATTATAATATGGTCTCCATTGTATTAGCGTATTAGTTCTTATAAGTTCTGTGGTCTTCGTATCTTGCAAGGTTTCCTGAGAAATTTCATTCAAGATGGGCGACTTTCGATTTTTTCTGTTTTTTTTTTTGGTCTATGCTCAGTATTATCGGCTTCATGGTTGTTTTGAGTATCAAATATTGTCAAATGTGCAAGTCTGAGTCTGAGACCCATATTATATTATCAGAGGCAATACACATTTGGTTGTTCTAAGATCATGATGTGATCATGATCAAGTTTTCCATACGTGCATGGTCCGCCGCAATTTTGATAGGTACTTTTCTGCAAATACACTGCACATTTTTAATTGCGAAATTGAAACTTAAAACCATTATTTATCAAGTAAGTGCTTCAAGTATGCCCTAAAGTCTAGCCCTATTAGACCCTCTTTCTGCCCAGCAACCAGAATTTAGAAATTGAAGAAGTAAATGTACTGTTACCATAAAATTTGTTCTCCCAAAAGTCCACTAAATAGCATGCAGCATTGTCAAATAAATACCTAGCAGATTCCCCTCTAATGGGCTCTTTCTCTAAAATTTAAATACGTAATTTAAGTATAAAATCCCAAAGGAGGGACTATTTTAGGCATATATACCAAAAAAAAAAAATTACTACAAGGTTAAATATATTTTTTACAGGTATTTGAAACTGGCGAAATTCAAAATCATTTAAAACGCGCCGATTCGCTGACGTCACATAAATATTTTCCATTTCGCTCATGTTGTTGCAAGAAGCTGACCGGCTCGGCTGTGTTGCGCTCTGTAAAAGCACAGCAAGGTTCGAATGCGCTGTTCTCGGTTGTGACTGAATGTAGTGCAACGTAAAAAAAATAAATAAAGCTAAACATAAAAAATTGTATTAAATTGTGTTCAAGCATAATTTCAAAAAAAAAAATTATAAAATCTTGAATCCATAACTAATTAATTGAACTAATTTTCATGATATTTTTCCAACATTTCAGAATTAAATCTATTACAAATTTTCAATGTTGACAATTAGTGGCAACACGGTCAAATTGCGAGCTGCGACGTCATAGAAATAAATTCTGGGTTTTTATTTGGAGGTATTTCTTATTTTTCTGTTTTCTGGGCTGGAACTCTGTAACGGATAAAGATCGTTATCCCTATCGCCATGGCACTTGCTGTCTTTTTCTCTCTTGTCGAAATCAATAGAGAGGAGACGTCAATAGAGATAGAGAAAACATGTCTATTTGTTACAGAGTCCCAGCCTTGGTCTTTGCTGGAAGTTCCAAACACGTCGGCGAAGTCACAAATTCGATATCTCCCTTGGTTATTTCCAAATAGAATGTTCTAGAATTTTCCCGAAATTCCTCTAAATTCTTTTTCTGAATGACGATTGATGCATCAAATACGTCGGTGATTTCCAAATAGAATTTTCTAGAACTTACTCGAAAATTCACTATCACAGTCAAAATCGGGTATAAAGTCACTTCCGGGGTAACACAATCGGTTAAGTCTCTTTTGGTGATTGTCACTGCTGACACTGACTAACTGTCTCAGTGTTCACTAAGTGTCCACACTAGTGTCCACAGTAGTCCGCACTATTCTGCAATTGGATTTCACTTTGCAGTCCTCGAATTATATCTCACTTCTGACACCAGTGTCACGGCTCTGGGGTGCATGACAGAAATCTTGGGTCCGTTTATTCCATAATCAAAATTCATTTAACGAAACAATAATTTATTCCACGTTACTATACACTCTGATACTATAATAACTCAAACAACTAAACTCTTTACCACTCAACAATATTCACTATCTAAATCATATCACAGTCAATCTTAAAACTCAAAAACTACTAGGTAATACCGGCCTTTATATATCCGTAATCCATTCTTATAAAATCCGAAATAAGTGCGATTATCTCTTTGCCCGAATAAGGCGGTCTTTTCTGGAATTTTAACACATTTAATGAGACCAGCGGCATTTGCCGTCATAGCCACTGTCTCGAAAACGGCACCAAAAATATGGATGTGCGCTCAGAACGACACCTTGATATGCTGCAATGTATTAACCTGTGTCTCGGGTGGTTCCGGGGACGTTAATTATACTATCCATTCTAAATAGGTATATATTTTTGGGTTTCCAATACGGCACCCTAACACCAAATATACGCTAAATCGACGGCATACAACGCTAGCTCCGTCAGGAGCTTAGTAGACCAGGACCAAAAAAAGGAAATGTGTCATATAACGTCAGCGCCCGCAGTCGCATTATGACGTTGGCGGGAAATGCCGCTAATGCCAGTTAAAAATATGTCAACACAATCAGGTGTCATTGAATGTGTTAAGCATGGATTCTGTATACGCTGGCGAAAGCGCAACATAATAGTAGGTATCTATTCCTGAACGTACTTGTTGATATCAAAGCAAATACTTGCTGGAGTGACTAAATGTTGATAGATCCAAAGTTTTAAAACTAAATAGAGCATTATTGCACGGTTCAAAGGATAGCCTGAAATATTACTAATGGAACAACAGATTTAATGACATTATGACAGACTTAGGATCTAATTTTGGATGATTTGATCATTACTGGAAACTGGAAACAGGGACATGTTATGAACAGACTGACCGATGAAATGAATGCCAAATAAATTTCCAGATTACCTACTCCATCACCTTGCCATGAACACAAAATCAATTCTCGACAAAATGACGACGGAGGTTTTTTATTTTAACCAATCTAATTGCATACCGTAAAAACACAGTTTATTTTTTCTACCGGCAGGTGGAAGCACATACCTCAACCGCGGAAAAAGCATTTTTGGGGCAAGTGCAGTATTTTCAATTTTTATTAAAGCTTCATAGCGAATGGTGCTACCATCTATGAGGACTGTCTCTATTTAATCCGCCCAACATAACTCAACCACTTTTCTGACCACTTGTGTACTCACTCCGTTGTGTGAGTGAAACTTCCCTCAATTTCAATGCGCATTTGAAATATATAAGTACTAGAATTGGTATTTTTTTTTCAAATCCATAAACATCAGTGAATCAGTATAATTTCATTTCGCAATTTTTGGTGAGTACGTATGTTAATTGAACTGTTTTTCTAATCTGAGAGGTATTTTTGCAGTTGCTAACCAAAATTGTGGTTTTTGTTTATATATGATGCACTTGCCCCGTCTATTTTCTCTAGTGGGGCTAGTACAGCAAATTTCTCCGGGGCAAAAGCGTCATACAGCGCACTTGCCCCATGCAGCACCATGAACAATGATTATTTTCTTTTTAGAAATCAACATGGTGCGGAAATATATTCGTAAAAGTAAATGAGGAGCTGGATATTCTGCTGAAACCCTAACCCGTAACTGGTGAGGTAGGGTTTCTCCCCGAGTTTCTCAAACCCCACAAATTTTTAGAATCTTTACCACGTATCAACTAATAATTGGAGGTCCGCTACCTCCTGTGTAGCTTTCGGTCCGTTGTCGATCAGTTCTCTCGGTGTCAACAACGCGCGATATTTTACTTGGTGTGCGATATTACGATTTTTGTATAAATTGGGGTTTGCGTAACCCCACCTCACCTCAGTCGTTTGGGTTAGTTTGGATTAATTGCTCTCCAAAAAGTTTACTTGAAATACAATTTTGCTAAAACTTTTTTCCTTGAATGTTTTTCAAAGATTTTTAGACACTTTTCCGCTATTTTGTATTTCTTATGCTACATTTTCAGTTTGATTACTCCTAGCAATTAGAAATAAGTTCTGATGTGTGTTTTGTGCAGTCCCACAGTAAAATCGAATTATTCCTAAAATATTTGTTTTTTTGTTTATTGAAAGTATGTAGGTATACCTACGCGTTCCAAAAGGATAAATGTTACCCAAAAGTGAATAACATACACGTTTTTTTATTTTGAATTAGCAGAATCGTCTTTTTCATCACCTCACCGGTTATGTAACAAAAAAATTACCTCACCAGTAACGGGTTAAAGTTGGTAGTTAATTAGGTACGTGAGAAATGGTACTATGACAGCGTATGGAGCTAGCGCGGTTTACAATGGGTGGTATGAATAAAAATGAAGTACTTGCTACTGCTAGAAGTATTAGTATGTTCTACGTAGTATTTACTTCAAAACGAAGTAGGTAGATACTACATTTCGAAACGACCAAAATGTAGTATCTACTTCGTTTTGAAGTAAATACTACGTAGAACATACTAATACTTGTAGTAGTAGCAAGTACTTCGTTTTTATTCATACCACCCAATATCCCTATAAATACAATTAGAGATCACGTTGAAGGTCGAAGGGGCCAAAAGAGCCGTACATACGGTCGGAAAACCGACCTTAGTTATGAACAAGAGAATTCATTAGCTGACTGTATTCTCTGCTTGGAAAAATGGGGATTCGGTTTATCCAGGGAAGAGATACTACAGTTGGTGTGCGAATACGTTAAAATAGACCAGATTAAAACCCAATTTAAAAATGGACGTCCAGGAGAAGACTGGTTTTTGAACTTCAAACGTCGACACAATCTCTCTATCAAAATACCGCAAAGTGTTGAATTTGCCAGAAAAAAGAACATAGATCCATTTTTGATTAATGAATACTTTGACTTATTAGAAAGAACTGTGAAGGAGCTTAGTTTGGAAAATAGACCATGTCAGATTTGGAACATAGACGAGAGCAGTTTTTGCTCCGACCCGTCTAAGACCAAAATTGTTGGGCAAAGAGGACTTCCGTCAACCCGTACGACGAGTGGACCCGACACTACAATTTTGATGTGCTGCAGGGCAAGTGGAAAGAAGGCTCCACCTCTTATAATTTTTAAGGGCAAACACGTATGGGATCAGAGGGTAACACCAGCTCCAAATACTACATACGCAGCCACTACAAATGGCTGGATGGAGAGTAATGTTTGCCATTGCAAACGATATAATTATATTAAAACTGCCTCCGCATACGAGTCATTCGTTGCAGCCTCTAGACTTGAGTGTATTTAAATCATTAAAAATTCGATGAGACACTAAGTTAGTAGACTGGCAACGCAAAAATGTAGGCATTAAAATTCCCAAGAGTATTTTTTCCAAGCTCATTGGCGAGATTTGGACCGAAAAAAAAACCTGAAATATTGGTAAATGGTTTCCATAAAGCCGGTATTTGTCCAGTAAACCGGAATGTCCCTCTAGAAATTTATGATCCGACTGCATTAAAAAATGGAAATACAGTATGTCAGAGACCAACCATCAACATCCTCAAAAGGTCAGAGCGACTCTAATGGTCCTATATCTCCAACGCCTCAACAGATGCAAGCCGATGATTCGGCTTCTTTGGCTTCGTCCATGAAGGGACAAGATGAAAATATTTTGGATGAAAGTGAAAATCGTCCAAAAGTTCATGACAGTAATAACAATATGCTTCAAAATATAGTCAGATTTGAAGAACTCTTGCTAACATCGTTAAAACGAGCGATTAAGTTCCCCCAAAGCAACCCAGAAAACGTGTTTTTTAGGGGCAGAAGTAATAACAAAGATGTTTTAAAATTTCGAGAGAAAACAGCTGTCAAAACTGGTGTCAAACCCAAGCTTTCAAAAAAAAAAAAATGACAAAGTCGCCGATAAAACTGACTCAGAAGAAAGCGATCTTAAATCTTGGAAAAGGGATCAAAGTGAGGACAGAATAACCGAGTTTGATGAAATGTCAAGAGTCAGAGCCTGAAGATCCTGAAGTTGACCAAACCGAAGAGAATGTTTCATCTGCACGGGAAACCGATTTTCATAAAATTCAAAACGGAGACTTTGTATTAGCTAACTTCTTTGGAAAAAGGAAAAGTTACAAATATGTGTGTCTGATTATAGAAGTATCTGATGATGAAGCGGAAGTAACATGTTTACGTAAAATGCGAAAACCAGAGAAATTTAGGCTCGAAGAAAAAGACAAATGTTCAATTTTATTGTCCGATATCATTCAAAAACTAGAACGACCCAAATTGGTACCATATGGAGATAACCAGAAGTATATTTTCTCAAGTGCTGTAGACGTATCTGAACAGTAGAATGAGCTGAGTTACAACAATAGCTATATTTTATGAAAAATTCAATAAGTTACTTACCCATGTTTTACACATTTTTAAGCTAAAATATCGATGAAAACTATGATGAAACCGCACTTGCCGCGAATCTTGGGGCAAGTGCGTTTTTGGCACCAAAAAATGAAAAATTACAATATTTAGAAAATCCCCAACTCTTTCGAAATTTTTATTAATATTTGTCAATAAAGCATACTATATCGAGTAGGTACATAATTAATTTATAAATTCACCTACTAATTTTTTGGTACCCTCTCACCCCATCTTACCTTAACACATTTTTTTTTTTTAAATAACAAAACAGAGTAGCCTTCCGGGCAGAGCTGGGCAGATTACTTAAAAAAAGTAGAGAGAATAACTACTAACTACTGTGTAAAAAAAAGTAGGCAGTTTAATTACTTTGTAGTTAAACAACTTCTTAAATTAGTTTAGATTGCTAACTACCAAGTAGTTAGTAGTTAAAAATTTAACTACTTTTTTAACTACAAACCATCCGGGTTGGGTGCCATCTAGGTACAAAAAAATTTCTATAACAATAAAAACAAACGCTTACTATGGTTACTAAAAGCTTGAAGCAGAGCTTAACTAATTCCAAGAACTTGTTCTAACTGTTTAGCACGTGGTATAGCAAAGTAGTTAAAAAATTTCTCAAAGTACCTAGTTACCAAAGTAATCAAAATACGCAAAAGTAGTTGAAATACGTAAAGTAGTTATAATTGAGTAGTTAACTCATATTTTAAGTACTTTTTGCGAATATTTCATCAAAACAAAATATTCGAGTATGATTACCTACTGGGAAAAAAAAGTAGTAACAGGGGCGGATTAAGCCTTTTTTCGCCCCTGTGCATTTCGCCCCCTTCCAGGCTCTAGCTTATCATCATCATTTCATTTTTTTTTTTCCATTTGAAGATTATTCTTTAATATAAAAAACACAAATACTTAGTTTAGGGCTAATTTTTTATTTTTTAATTTGAAGATACTTACTTTATAGTATGTAAAACAAATATTTAGTTTAGGAAATACAAGAAAGATTGTATTATTTGTCAGAGTTACTAATAAAAGAAAACTGTACCTATCGTAGTTCTAAACTAAAGTTGAACATCTAAAAGAAATTGTCATATACCTTAACATTTTTTTGTTGGTTTTTATAATCTAAAACTGCGGCCATATTGGTGTATCACCAGTGCCGACGTCATCAGTCGTTAGCTACTTGCGCCAGCGGTCCTAGTTTAGAATTTAAATTTATGAAGAAAAATATCATTTAATTTTGATTAACATAAATAGGCAAAGAGGAAGATGCAAATGAGATCTAAGCAGTTGTTCTAGAATGGTAATTATTGTAGAAATACAAGTATGCATAGGTAAAGCAAAAGCCCGCGGGATCATAACCTATGGTGCAAACTGCCTACGTCAAGACGAGAAACGACATGCTGCCTATGTCACAATTGATGATTTGGCGTGGTGGGGGGCTTCAGATTTGTTCTACACAGGTCTTATGAGGATAGGCTATCATGTAGTAGTAGTGTGTAATATCCTTGATTAGGTTACACATCCTCTCATATTGCCGGATTGGGCTGTTTTTCCTTGAATAAGGGTTTTATGTTTAAAAGAAACTTGAATCTCGGAAAACTTTTGGTTGTAGGTAAACTATTTTGTTGAATATTTTGTTTCTGTAAAAATTTTACTGCTTTTCTGATTTTTTTCCTCTTATTTTTCTTAAGGATTTTTCGAAGTTTTTCGCCCCCTTTGACTTTTCGCCCCTGGGCGATCGCTCAATTCCGCCTTATGGTTAATCTGGCCCTGAGTAGTAAGAATATAACTACTTTTAAAAAGAAACAGTTAACTGCGTAGTTAACTACTTTTGTAGTTAACTACTGCCCAGCTCTGCTTCCGGGACAACTTTTTGACATAATCAGTATGGTAGAAACTTTATGTTCAACCTAAAAGGATGGACATATCTCCTAATGTGGACGACTTCCTATTGGTGGAGTTCACATCCCAATTTCTGGAGTTCACATCCCAATTTCTGGATGAGGGTGAAAAATACTATATCGTGTGATATCGTGTCTAAGTATGATATACAATAATAGTAGATTATACCACGAGTCAATACACTGAGAAAATTTTTTCATTGTCATAGCTAATTTTTCTGCTGCCGTAGCCAAAAATTTTGGCTACATAGGGGACAGCCAAGATCTTTACTACCGCCGAAAAGATAACTTTACTGGCACCGTTTATTTGCGGTAGCAAAGTGACTTTATAAAGAATTTACTCACAGTTTCTACAAGGTCGCTTTGCTGGTATAGAAAAGCTACTTTGCTGTCGTAGGAAAGTAACTATACTGTCCTAGAAAAGAGGTTATATACCCTCAAAAACATCCTTTTTTGCTATTGAAAAGTAGATTGCTAAGACAGAAAAAATATTTGTTGTTGTTATTAGAAATGCTTCCTGAAATAGGAAAGCGTTTGTCTCAGAACAAAAAATTTCTTGCCAGAATCAGCCAAGTCTTTTATTAGCCATTAGTACGGGATACGAGGCCTATTTCATCAAATCATTTTACACCGTCTTGCATTGTTATCATCAGTTATATAACATGATGCTGAAACGCACTTGCGCAGTGAAATATATGGGAGTGGGGAATTTAGCTGATAAAAATGTTTGAGAAAATGTCGTCATAATCCAGGAAAATATACAATTTCACACCGTCTTGCATTTACTTATTAAGTTAATTTGTACACAAACAAAATTAGAATACCCTATGCAAGACATTTTCCTGGGGGTTTTCGGGTTGTAATATTAGATAGAAATTGTCAATTTTTCAGAGGGGTGAAATATCATTTCACACCACTCAATTGTTGATTTAGATTAAAGCTTGAATGTAGAATAGCCATTGGATACTGATGCAAGACGTACTGTGAGGGAATAATGGGCTGCAAGACAGAGGTCAATGTGTTGTCTTATGAGGGAGGGAGAAATCATTTTACACCGTCTTGCACTGGTACTTATGGGAAAAATAGAACACATTGATAACATTTTTAAAAATACAAGACATTCTAAATGGGAAGAAAGGACTGCAAGACGATGATGAAGTTGACTAATTTTGACAAGGGTCAATCTATCAGGTACAAAGGTGAATACTACTTCAAATTACAAATTATGCACATTAATTTTAAATAGTTTTGCTCTTCACCACGTAGAATAATTCTATTTTGCGAAATTCTCCTAATAATATGTATATATGAATGTTTCTACGGACATCAAATAAAAAAAGATTGAAAATTGTTTTATTTTTGACGGCTTTTAATCATTTAGGTTCTCTTTGAGGTGGATATCCCATGACACATAACATGTTTTGTGCACATAACAGATTGTAAGCATTAAATTTGAAGAATTTCATTTTAAAGCAGCAAAAAAATGTGAAAATGACACAACAAATGATCTGTCTGAAATTGTAAACAAAAATTATAATTCCTGTATTCAACAGACTCCCCTGTTGAGCTGCTATGTCAACTGTCCTTTTTCATCTGTATGATTTAAAAAAGAATAAACATTGAACGGTTCAGTAAATAACTCAACAGTTCAGTGAAAAAATTAAAATGGATTTTTTAACATTTTTCCCAGAAAAAACGTCTTGGACTGATGTAATACCATTTCTTAACATAGATTCTTTCGGCGGACATAAGCATGAAGTGGTGTAAAATAATTTTTCACTCCCTCATGAGACAACACATTGAGATCCGTCTTGCAGCCCGTTATCCCTCTACAGGACGTCTTGTATCAGTATCCAGTGGCTATTCTACATTCAAGCTTTGATATAAATCAACAATGGAATGGTGTAAAATGATATTTCACCCCTCTCAAAAATTGACAATTTCCATCTTATATTACAACCCCAAAACCCCCATGAAAATGTCTTGCATGTGTTAATCCAATTTTGTTTATGTACAAATTAACTCAATAAATAAATGCAAGACGGTGTATAATTAAATATTTTTCTCGTTTATGATGACATTTTCTGAAACATTTTTTTCAGCGAAATCCCCCACTCCTATCTATTTCCCTGCACAAGTGCGTTTCAGTACCATGTTATCTAACTGATGATAACAATGCAAGACGGTGTAAAATGATTTGATGAAATAGGCCTCGTATCCCGTACTACATGGGAAGTTATTTGTCTCACCAATAGCAAAAATATTTTGCTGGAAATCTTTGGAAATATGTAGTAGCGCGTCCACACTGAGAAAAGTCCCAGGAGAAAATTGTTTGCTGGTTTTTTTTTAGCTGTTACGATGGAAAATGTTTTAGAGGTAGCAATGTGATTTTGCTTCTACAGAAAAGACCACTTTGCTGAAACTACTTTATTGAAACTGCAAAGATATTTCTTATTCCAAAATCAAACTTTGCTGTTATAGCAAAATTAAAATTTTATGAAAATATTTCTGCTTCTCCGAAATAGAACTTTTCTAAGATAGATAGATACTTTACTGTTGCAGCAAAAAAAAAATTCCTGTAATTTTTGTTATTGTTACAGTAATGTTTTTTGCTACCCTAGCCAAATAACTTAACTAAAAATACCGTTCGGACATTTCCGTGATTTCTTCGGGTCCAAAAATAACCGATAAAATATGTTTCGTGTTCATTTTCTTCCATTTTAGTTTAGTAGCTAACGCCGTACGGTGTGGAATAGTGTGGATCGTGGATGCTGTCTAGTCAAGTCGAGTATCGCAAGTCGAGTGTCGGTCGCTGGGAATCTTTTTGGAAATGGTGCCAGCGCATCCATCAAAACTAGCAGAAACAACTCTAGCGCCAAACTTTTCATTAATTGACATTATTTCAGATCAGGTAATGAAAGTTTAGGGGTTTAAATAGAGTTTGTTTATCTCCTGGTTTTGTTATGACGGACGCGCTACTACATATTTCCAAAGATTTCCAGCAAAATATTTTTGCTATTGGTGAGACAAATAACTTCCCATGGCTAATAAAACACTTGGCTGATTCTGGCAAGAAATTTTTTGTTCTGAGACAAACGCTTTCCTATTTCAGGAAGCATTTCTAATAACAACAACAAATATTTTTTCTGTCTTAGCAATCTACTTTTCAATAGCAAAAAAGGATGTTTTTGAGGGTATATAACCTCTTTTCTAGGAGGACAGCATAGTTACTTTCCTACGACAGCAAAGTAGCTTTTCTATGCCAGCAAAGTGACCTTGTAGAAACTGTGAGTAAATTCTTTATAAAGTCACTTTGCTACCGCAAATAAACGGTGCCAGTAAAGTTATCTTTTCGGCGGTAGTAAAGATCTTGACTGTCCCCTATGTAGCCAAAATTTTTGGCTACGGCAGCAGAAAAATTAGCTATGACAATGAAAACATTTTCTCAGTGCATCATAACAAAACCAGGAGATAAACAATCTCTATTTAAACCCCTAAACTTTCATTACCTGATCTGAAATAATGTCAATTAATGAAAAGTTTGGCGCTAGAGTTGTTTCTGCTAGTTTTGATGGATGCGCTGGCACCATTTCCAAAAAGATTCCCAGCGACCGACACTCGACTTGACTCGACAGCATCCACGAACCACACCGTACGGCGTTAGCTACTAAACTAAAATGGAAGAAAATGAACACGAAACATATTTTATCGGTTATTTTTGGACCCGAAGAAACCACGGAAATGTCCGAACGGTATTTTTAGTTAAGTTTTTTGGATAGGGTAGCAAAAAACATTACTGTAACAATAACAAAAATTACAGGATTTTTTTTTTGCTGCAACAGTAAAGTATCTATTAGAAAAGTTCTATTTCGGAGAAGCAGAAATATTTTCATAAAATTTTAATTTTGCTATAACAGCAAAGTTTGGTTTTGGAATAAGAAATATCTTACCAGTTTCAATAAAGTAGTTTCAGCAAAGTGGTCTTTTCTGTAGAAGCAAAATAACATTTTCCACTGTAACAGCTAAAAAAAACCAGCAAAGAATTATCTCCTGGGACTTTTCTCAGTGTAATGATAGCTATTATTCCCGAGGATTATTACGAACTGAGCCGCGTCAGCGGCGAGGGAGTAACATTCCGAGGGAATAATAGCCATTATTGCGAGTAGTATACTCTACTTTATTTACGACAAATTAATTTATTTGAGATTTTCAATGAACAAATTTCATCAGTCGCATAATTTTCAATACAAATCCACAAGCACTACACGTTTGACACTGACACTTTTGTGGAATAATGACCATTAATCCCGCTACTCGTCATTAATCCCTGGAGGAATAACATATGTCATTATACTGCCAAAATCACAAATATAATACGCACATTATACATTAGTCGTAAATAAAAGTTTAAAATATCTAAATAAGCAGTGTTTTTAATACCAGAAAATTATCAAGCAAAATATTTGCTGACATTTCCTATCGTTTCAGACTTAAAATTCTGGTGCTACATTATGTTTTCATTGTAAAAACGCACTGTCACAAAGTTACCATCCCGTGCTGCGGGGTAACTTTGGGACACTTTCAAATCAAAAACAGGCTGAATTATTATTAATTTTTCAGTTTTCTAGAATTGCCATTTTGTAGCGAAAGAACGGATATGGTACATGGTGTATCTTTTTTAGAATTTCATGTGGCAAAGAAATGTATGAGAATTTCAAAAAACCTCATAACCTGTCACAAAGTAGGTACCTACCTATGCTCGTTTTACGGTAAAGGAAGAGTTTTGCTAGATTTTAAATACTAATTAATCATCAATTCAATCTCGTTGGTTCTATTTTCAATTGAATAACGTAGTTTTATGAAGCCTTTTTTGTCGTTCAGCTATAGTACAGAGGTACCTACGATTTGAAAAAAAAAAACGCGATTCTGGTCGTTCTGACTAATTGATTTCATAGTTACATCGTCTGGATGAACAAAAGCACAACTTCTATTTTATTATTATCAATTATTACTCTCTGGAAGCATCCATTTGATATAGGTGGACACATTTATTTCCAAGACATACCTATATAGTTTTTACATTTGGTAGGTATTAGAGGTACGTACTCCATAATAAAACAATTTCCATACACTTGTATCAACATTTAATGATAATTTTATGTACACCATTTGCGAATAAAATACCTACAAGCAAACTTTGCTACAAAGGTAGGTACACTAATAATTTAAAAATAAAAAACACAATGAAAGGAAAATGACAAAAATAAAGTTCCCTGAGGGGTCTAAAAATAAAAAATAAAAACTTGATTTATTAACAAGTGTTTTCAAATACCTATTATTCGTTTTATTGATTCATTTATTATTGATACATGGTTTAATAGTCCTAAATAACTAACAATATTGCTACACTCCATACAGTACATTTTTATAAATAACGTTTGCTTTATAAATTAAGTAGGTAGCAAAATGTACCATATACTCTAAATCAAACAGTGTTACATAAAATAACAGTCTTTCTTTTTTGGTAAATTATACAAACAAAATAGTTAAATTAGTGATTTTCCCTCCTATATTAGCTGCCTGTAAGGGAGATTGGGTTTTGAAACTAAGCAAATGAAATCACAACTTACTTTTATACGCAATCTATATAGCAAGATTAAAAATACTGACACTATTTTTTAAGTAGGTATTGTCCGTCGTTTTTAATCTGAAACTTTCCGTATAAGGAGCGAGGAGGGGTCAAGCATATGACAAAAACAGGTGTGACGTCAGTAGACCATTGGCGTTGTGACGTCAGTTGACCATTGGCGTTCTAACGTAAGGAGCCACCAGCTCTCATTCCTTTGGAGTATCAGATTAAAATAGACGGGCTGTATAGTAAATATTAACACTAAAAACTAGAGACTTTTTGAACTTACAAATTTCGAGCTAAACATTAATTATATTTACAAAAATGCTCCCAGTAACAAAAAAAAATCGAAGAAATTTTTAAAAAGTTAAACATAAGATATAATCAAGAAAATATATTTACAAAAAAAAAAAAAACAATAATTAAAGTGACCGTGAAAATCTTTCGAATATTTACAGGAAATTACACAAACTGGCCTATCAAATACAACTGTAGAAATAAATACAGTTGAAAATCACAAATTTAATATTAAATAACAGAGAATCCTCGAGAGAGACTTTATTTTTAGAGAGAATAGAGAAGGACTTGTTAAACAGTCTAAATTTTTTCACTATTCACCAAGTCCTACTGAGTTCAATAAACGGACCTCTGTTGTCGAAACTACAAAATACATACTCTCACAATCACACGTCCTAATATAAAATAAATACAAAAACAAATATTTCTAAGTCCGATATAACGTTTTACTAGATTTTTGAACACGTTTTAAATAAGTCTCTTTAGGAAGCCATTGCCGCGTGCGAATTGGGCCTGGTCGTTTGGGCGAACAGGACTCCTTGGTAGGTGATACCGTCCAGTTCCATGCTGACTACCAAGGATTTGTCACCGTTTCTTGAATCACCTGAAAAAGAAGAATATGATTAGTGAAAATTCTTTAATATCTTAGTTTTTTTTATCTTAGTTTCATGAAGATGTTGAAACCAATAGCACCTCTAGTAGATACAAGGTAGGAACTAGGTAGGTATATTTGGAATTTTTTCTTCTTGCTAGAGTTCAAATCCTAATTTGCTTTTTCATTTCCATAATGGTTTGCAGAAATTGCTCGTCATTTGCTGGAAGTGTACCACAAATTATCAAGTACTTAGCAGTACTTAGGTATGGATAGTATTGTGGAGCTATTTCGTAAGTTCAACGTTTCCAGCCTCTAATTCATGAATTGCTTTCTTCAGCACTTTGATATTTGTGGCTTCACCTTCAGTATATAAAGATTATTATTATTTTCGATTTTCATTCCTTTTGATTGTTAGCCTTTCCTTGCAAGAGTTGGAGTGTGACTTTCTGTGTTTGGTAAGTTCAGAGCGCATGAGGATGTTAATGTTTTTCAGGTTAATTTCGGACCACTTGATGATACCGAATGAGTATGTAAGAGTAGGAATGGCGTATGTGTTGATTGCCTTAGTTAGCTTTCTAGAATTTAATTTACTTTTTAATAGCCTGATGAGTCTATTTCTGAATTCAGTTTTAAGCTCTATTTTGATGTGAGTGTGATTCAGTTTGGTACTTTGATGGAATCCTAGCTATTTAGATGTTTCATTCCTGAGCATGTTATCTAGTGTTTCCAGGGTTGGATGAACCCACCGGGATACCGGGAAATTCCCGGTGGGCCGATCTTTAGAACAACAGAACCTTTATCAAGATAGGTTTAAACGGACGAGCTCCATAAGGTCTGTTCTTACAGAAATCATGAACCAGTCAGAGCATTTTTGATTGGTGCAAATCGCCAACAAACAGTTTTCTGACTATTTTCAATCCAAACCACAAATGAAATTTGTGGTTTGTGATTTCTGTGAGAACAGACCTTATGAAAGCACAAAGAATTATTGGTCAATTAAATTCATGACGCACTGAAAAAGGAACAACGCAACATGGAGGAAATATTAGAAAGTGCTAAAAATGTCAAATGGGCAAATACAGTACTGAAAGCAAATGAAAGAGAGAAGTAACAGGGGAAGAACTAGAGATGATACTCCACCAGCTACTGCTATTTTTGCATCATAATAAAAAAAAAGGCATCTTATTCAAGGCATATTCCATATAGGTATATATCAATTTCACCGAAATAATGCCAGACAATGCTTTAAAAAAAATTAGGTAGGCGACTTGAAAATGTCGGAACTGTATGACCTCCCTGAATTTAACGATGAAGATGAAGATGATAATAGGAAATGAATTAAAGTTGTCAAAATGATTTAAGTTATATATGATCTCCCAGAATCTAACGATGAAGATGAAGATGATGTAAATGTCACAGAATTAGATACAGGGCATGAATTAGAAATTTCTAAAAAAGCGTTCTTCACATTTACGCTGCCAACAATGTTCGATTTTGTATAGTAAAAATATAGATTTTACATCTGTGCTTACAGACATCTTTAGGGCCTACCGGTATGTCCTCACTTCAGCGTTTACACAAGTAGGGTCCGAAAAATGCTTTTTCAACACTTTAATACATAAAAAATTGATCAATGTATCGACTTATTTGGATGCGTTGATGATAATGAACTTAAGTATTATTTGATCACATCTAGGGGTGATGATGTATGGGCCGCTAGACTGAAATTTCCCGGCCCACTTCTAAAAGTTCGTCCAACCCTGAGTGTTTCACTATCGACGGCTTGGACATCATGATGTTTTTTCCACTGGCCTTTGTTTATGTGGAGTACCCTACACTAATCCCGCAAACTCCATACAGACGTCTGAGGTGAATGTTTCTGTAATTTTGAGGAGGCTTTTCAACTGTGTTTCCGGAGCCGCGTAGAGTTTGATGTCATCCATATACAGTAAGCGGTTTATTTGGTGTTGGTTTTCTTTCTTGTGTCTAAGTTGAAAACTGTGCTCAGTATTGTTAAGGGCATTAAAGAGTGGATTGAGACAGAGGCAGAACCATAGAGCGCTAGGTAAGTGAATCGCCTTGGATAATACCACGTCTGATATTATGGAGTTCTTCAGTTTGGATGTATTCGGTTTCTGTATTTAGTCGGATTTTGGTTTTCCAGGATTTCATGATTTGTGCAAGAAACTCTCTGAGATTCTTGTTGTTTTTGTAGATTTCAAGAACTTTCATCAGCCAGCTATGGGGTAGGGAGTCCAAGGCCTTTTTATAATCTATGTACCCGATATGGAGGTTTCTATTATCTTTTCTAGTGTGTCTCATGATGAGACTATCTATAATCAGCTGCTCCTTACAGCCCTGGCTGTTTTTCCAACATCCCTTCTGTTTCTCAGTTAGTCTTGTTGATTGTGAGCAAGTGATGTTCGATTTTCTTGCAGACTGTAGCTGTGATGATCTTATATAGCGTTGGAAGACAGGTGATAGGTCGATAGTTTGAGGGTTTTTTAGTGTCCAAGTTTTTGGCTTTTGGGTTTGATGTAGGATATGCCTTGGGTTAGAAATCTGGGAAACCTCTGTGGTTCTTGGATGATTTTGTTAAATTGGTGTGTGAGAGCTTTATGTGTAGCTGTAAACTGTTTATACCAGTTTTGAATGTTGTCTATGCCAGGGCATTTCCAGTTGTGTGTGTATTTGATTGTATTTGTGATTTCTTCTGTTATAAGTATGAAATCTGGTTGTTCTGGTATATGTTTGTGTCTTTCTGCTTCGGTTTTAATCCAGGTGTTGTTGTTGTTGTGCTGTTTTGATTCTGATCACATGCTCTTCCAGTACCTAATTGGTTCGTTCTTATTTGTCTGGTGGTTCTAATCTGGCTTCTTGGCTGGACATGGTTCTTCTGTAGAATTGCTTCTCATTTCTTAGGAAAAGGTTGTTAGTGTCTTTCCTTTCGTTTGGCTCTTTGTATCTCCGGAGTCTTGACGCATAGATAATTTTTGCTTATGCGTATCAAGGATTTCTGGCATTGTTTGGGTAGGGTATCTTGACTTTATTTTCATTACTCTCTGTGTAACCTGTTTTGAGGTATTCCCGTTTGTGAACTGGGTGAGGTGCCCTAGATCTTTCTAGATTATTATTATTATTACAATTATTATTATTATTCAACTTATAGTCAATGGACCGTTGGAGCATGGAATATTTTAAGGGTTTGCTCTGGTATACAGACGGCTACAACACAGTGGATGAAGCTGGCGCTGACTTATATAGAGAAAGACCAAGATCAGAACAAAGCTTGCCTCTGGGTCTTAACACCACAGTTTACCAGACAGGAATTCATGTGATCCAAGCAATTGCACAGGAGATTCTAAGGCTAGGTTACAACAACCAGAACATTCTCTCAGACAGTCAGGCTGCTCTAAAAGCTCTAAACTCACAACGATTTACTTCGAAGATAAAAATTGAATGAACTGGAAGTTCTGTCATCAAGGAATAATAGGATAAAGTTCCTGTGAGTTCCTGTGCATTCGGGGATGGAAGGAAATGAAAAGGGTGACGAACTGGTCAGAGCGAGCAGAGCTGCTCTCTGCACAAAAGCAGAACTCGCATTTGGGATATCGTACCAGATTATAAAGACGGCAGTTAAAACTGTTGAAAGGTGGTTGACCCATCAACCTCTGGACTTTTGTATGTCCACACCTAGAGCACTCAAAGAGGTAAATGGCAACCCCTCGAAGATGCTAACAGCTGAAGAACTATTACTAACGCGTACTCAGATGAGACAGGTGGTAGGACTTCTAACAGGACACTGCCATCTTAAAGCGCACATGCAGAAAATGACAGTCTACAATGACCCAACGATAAATAGATTGTGTGGTGAAGAGGGGGAAACCGCCTTACACATAATATATACGACTGTGAAGTACTGGCTCGCAGAAGACATGATCTATTTTGACGAGAGACCTCCGCATAAGAAACTTGCCAGCAAGCTGCTAGATCTCATCAAAAGGATGAACTTGCTTAAGCAAAACAAGACAGACAACCAACCAACTCAACAGAAAAAGAATAATACAGAGGAAACAACCAAAGGAATGAAAAATAAGGAGAGAAAAAAGAGTCACCATTGCAAAACTTCCTTCAGGAAAAGTCAGCCACTATCTTTTGCGGTAAGACAGAAAGACAACAGGTAAAACTCAGACCTTATTTAATAGAGAACATATTGATAGATCAACTGATGAGATGGATTGACGACCTCAAACCAACCGCAGGATTACACTATGGAGACATGTTGCAAGAGTCCTCTGGCGAGAACTGGGAAAGGCCAATATCCAAAGATGGATGAACAGGCTAAAGAAGAAGAAGATGCCTGCAAGCGACAAAAACCTTCTGGCTTTTTTTGATGACAAGCGTATTATCTAGATGTTTGAGAGTTAACAACTTCTTGCAGATGGTGAAAAGCTGTCCAATTTGTCCTGTTAGGGCTTTTACCTACTCCTGGTTGCTTCTAAAGTAATGAAAAGTTGTAATACAAAACCAGATTGGGATGCTGCAAATGCTGCCCCCTGGATGGAAAGTCATTTTTAGCAGGTAATTGTATATATAAACTGAGATAGAAGGCTGATAATTCTTCAAAATAACCACTTATTGTGCTCCTCAGAAGGTACCTACTTTATTAACCTGGAAATTACTAGACTTTCTTACCACAACATGCAACGAGTTTTGGACAAAACTGGTATAGAAAATTGCAAATCTTCAAAGAAAACTGTAGCATCAAAACGTGCACCAAAGGTGTGTAAAAATCAATTTAATTTCCTTCAAAGAAGTAACGCCGTTATATTTATAAACCCTCCAGCGCATAGAACAAGTCGGACATATCCCGAACACAATCAATCACCCAGCCCAGAGTTCATTTGAATCAGTTAATTTTGCCTCCAAGTTCTTTTTATACTGCGTGCCAAACTGACGCAACGAAAGGTTTATTAAATTCAAAGTAGATCATTAATTTCGGGATGGCGCGCTTGATTGATTACAATTTTGTCCTGTGAAGTAAGTTTTTTTTTTTTGTTTGGGGGTTTCGCAACTTGTTTCGACATCATCCATTACTGTCTTATTTGCTAGTCGGATGGGGTTAATAAGGGTGCTTTATTTATTTTCCTACAACCACATACGAAAATGACAATATCCGCACTAGCTGGTTCTTTGGAAAGGGGCGAGCCGAAAGTACTTTCAATTCGCATCTAAAAGTACTTTCAGCACACGTGTGGAAAATACTTTTGACACATCACAATCAACTTTCAAAGTACCTACCTACTTTCAGCACGTGTGTTGAAAATTAAAAGAAATAGAATGAGAGAAAATTGGTGGGAAATCGGTTTCTGATCGTAGGAAAAATAGTCCACAGCACTTGTGAGAAAGTGTCTTCCATACACTCGTGTAATTTGTCACTTTCTACACTTGTAATGTAATATACTATTGACAATTCCTGACTCACCTCTACTGGTTATTTTAATATGGGTACTGATAGGCGTGTGGACAGGTGATGCTGGCGATAGCGACCTAGCCGAATCGTCGTCTTCTTTGGACATTCTTTTAGGAGGTGGAGGAGATTCTCTACAGTCAGGTTCCCGTTTTATCGAACATTCCGACTCTCTTTTTAGCGTTGGAGTTGGTTCCGATAGGTTGATAGGTTCCTTTTGTGGTTCGATTTGTGTCTGGTTGTTGTTGTAGAGGTTGAAAAGGTTCATGCGTTGTTGCACCTCGAATGGGGTTAGCGGAGAGGTGGCATTTGGTGGTGTCATGTCGCCTTGGCGTGGCGGAGTCGTCGTCGAGGCTCTGGAATAAACCAAACTATGGGATATTATGCTGTTAGTTAATTTTATATTTCATGGGTTTACTATCAATCTGTATCACTTAATATACTTGAGAGAAAAACCAATACCTGGGAAGTTTCCAGATTTACAAAAAAAAAAAAAACGTAGAGGGAAGCTTCCGGGATGTTTGTGGAAATCTTGGAAAATTCAAGGAATTTTGTGCAACAGACAAAGATTTTTCTAATTCCTAAATTTGATTCATCATTCATGATATTCAATAGAAAGTCCGGAAAAGTTTGAAGACATTAAGGAAATATGGAGAATTTTTCAGAAAATCCCAGCGGTGAGAAGTGGGAGGTGGTTTTCCTCTTTCGAAGAAACTTTGTTCAATGATATGATGTAAACATGTAAAGATATAAATTATTTCAATGCCCTTAAGCTGATACTCCATGTGAAAGCACTTTGGTGCTTACATACACCCATTTATAATGTAATATTATTTTGCGAGCTGTCTAATTTTTTAGAACCATATTACCACAAATCATTCACATAAATAATAAGCTTTACAATTATTATATTTATTGTCACTTTAATGTATCCACTTCACATTACAATCTTTACCTCATTTCCTTGTTTAACAATTTCATATACTCCATCATTCTAGCTTCGAATTCGCTGGGAGCTAGATTGGGTAAATTGGGCAAAGGTCCTCCGTTCATCGGTTGATTCATGGGCTGCGGATGACTAGGATGATGAGCACCATTGTGTAAACCGATGCCACCCGACATGACTGAGTTCATTCTGGCGGCTAGCTGCTGTTGCTGAGCAGCCGAGACTAGAGACAGCGGGTTGAGTTGATGGTTTGGGTTTGGAGATCTGGAATAATATTAAATTGTAATGGTTGTGGTTTAATGGAAAGTGAAACTTACTCGTACCCGTACCTGGAGATGGCATCGTATTGGCCGTAGCTACTTCTTCTGCCTTCTCGTCGGTTACCGTCGATGGCGGCTTGTAGTTCGGCAGGAGTGCTTAGATGGCGTTTCTCACATTCATAGGGGTAAAGATATTTCATGTATCTGAAATAAAAATAATAATCAGATTAGCAATTTGTAGCAAATACATCAGGTTTGTGAAGTAAAAGAAAACCTATAGAATATTAGGCTTTAATAAACTCAGAATATTACTGTACAGGAGCATATAGCTAACATTGATAAACTGTCAAGAAATAATAAAGGTAACAAGATAACAACAAAATAAAATACCAGACATTTTTAAAGTTTCCAATAAATATATAACATTCACCCCTAGTCGGTTTTATAATCTTTCGAATAGACAGGAGGCTTCTTTTGACGTTTTGGTCGGTTCGAGGAATAGTCAGTTATATTTTCTACAACTTCATCGCCTAGATTCCTTAATGCTGTTACAGGTATCTTATCAAGATTTCCAGCATCAGAATCGTGATAATTGAGTTGTTGAATGGGATCTGGTTCACTTCATTGGTCGTTGTTTTGATCATCAGGTTCGTTTCTATATGTCCTACATTCTACATTCATATCTTCATTCAACGTTTCTTGATGCAGAGGAGAATCTCCTCTTGGCGCAAGGCGGCGTGTTGACACAGTTGTTTCTTTACCATTAGCTAATCTGATATGAGCATAATCAGAGTTAGCTTCTAAGAGTTGCACTTCTTCCACGATCGGTTCATACTTGCTTTGTCTTACATGCTTCTTTAGGAAGACTGGACCAGGAATACTCAACCAGGTTGGAATTAAAGAACCATTTGTAGATCTTCTAGGATGACAGAACATTCTTTCATGCGGTGAACAATTTGTTGCTGTACATAACAGAGATCTTATTGAATGTGAAGAGTCGAACAGTCCCTGCTGCCAATGTCTTATATCCATGTTTTTTCTATTTTATTTTAGAGCTAACTGAATGGTTTTCCATGTAATACCGTTCACACTGCCCGTTTCCTTGCGGGTTATAAGGCTAGAAAATTCATCCACAATAGTCAAAATATATCGGTTTTGGTTCTCAGATGGCAATGGACCATTAAAATCTACATTTCTTCTTTCGAACGGGGCAGTAGCTTTTATGATGATCCCTTAATTTCTATGAAACCTTGGTTTGATCTCAGCATGAACGGGACAGGTGGCTGAAATTCTCTTGATATCGTTTAGTGAGAAAGGTAGATTCTTACATCGGACCCAGTGATGCAGTCTTGTTATACCAGGATGACAGAGAAAATTATGTAGATTATACGATGTTTTGTCACTAGAAGAAGGTAACATCGCAGAAGATATTCTTGAAAATGTATCTGCCACGATATTTTTATTTCCAGATCTGTATATGATATCATATTTATAAGATGATAGTTCCAGGCGCCACCGCATTATTTTTTCATTTTTGATTTTAGAATAAGTTAGTGAATTAAACATAGAAGCGACCAATTTCTGGTCAGTTACGAGCCCAAATTAACGTCCGATCAGAAAATGTCTCCATTTACGAAGTGCTTCCACTATAGCATAGGCTTATTTTTCTACGGAAGAATGTCGCTGTTCTGATTTAGTCAATGTTCTAGAGAAAAACACCACTGGTTTTCCAGACTGTATAAGTTGAGCAGCAAAAGCATATTCCGATGCGTCAGTTTCGACAGTAAAAGTGGTTTCATCGTCAATGGAAATAACAACAGCGTTTTGTATATCAGTCTTCAACTGTTCAAATGTAACAGCTTCACAAGCAGGCAATGGAAACTTTTTAATTCGAATCAGTGGATGTATTTCCTCAGAAAACTTATGAATGAATTTGGAATAATGGGCAAACATGCCTTGAACTCTCCTGAGCGAAGCAGTATTAGTAGGTAGTGGCAACTGAATCAGTGGTTTAGGTCTGTCAATATCTGGTTCCATTGATTTTCGTTCTATTGTATGCCCTAATGCCCTGTAATTTTAGCATGCCAAAGCTGCATTTTTTTTTGTTAATCATATTTCTTAACAACTTCTAAAAATTGTTATAGATTTGTATCATATCATAATGCTCTTTATTTTTACCACAGATGGTGACGTCGTCAAGAAATGCATATGTGTCTTCTAAATAACGTTCTTGTTTGATAATGTTATTCATATATCTCTGAAAACAAGCAATGCCATTAGTCACTCCAAAAGGAATTCGAGTGAATTGGTATAGATTTCCACATGGACAGGGTGCTGCGACACTATGTCACCCAAGCTGTTCATCACAGTTCTCGAACATGCTTTTAAGAAATTGTCTTAGGAGCGAAAAGGAATTATCATCGATGGAGAAAGTCCTAATAATCTTCGCTTTGCAGATGATATTGTCCTAATATCAGACAGTCTGGGTGAAGCTGAAGAAATGTTCCAGGAACTCTAAAATTCCACGCAAGAAGTTGGCCTAAAGATGAACTTCTCCAAATCTAAATACAGATAGGCAATAATAACATAGAATCAGTGGACAAGTACGTATTTGTATACCTGGGTCATGAGATGAGAATTCACAGAAATAACCAAACATGCGAATTGATGAGAAGAATAACCTTGGGATGGGCAGCGTTCGGGAAAATGAGGGATGTGTTTAGGGCTGAAATTCCAATATTCCTGAAACGGAAAGCATTCAAACAGTGTATCTTCCTAGTCCTGACCGGAGACATTTACTTTTACCAAAGCATAAGCAGAAAAGTTGAAAGTAACACAGAGATGAATGGAAAGATCCATGTTTGGATTGACTTTAAAAGACCGAGTAAGAAATAATGAGATCCGCATAAGAACTGAAGTGGACCATATAGAATGTAGGTATCGCAAAACAAAAGTGGAAATGGGCAGGCCACGTCACAAGATCTGAGGACAAGAGCTGGACGAAGAAACTCATTGAATGGAGACCCAGAGTCGAAAACGAAACCAAGAATTTCATTAAATTCAAATTGGATCGCAACTGCTCAGAACAGAGACAACTGGGAAATTTTAGATGAGGCCTATGTTTAACAATGGACATGAAAAGAGGCTAGTCAATGATGACCCTTGTGAAACCATCAAATCAACAGCTTCCTAAAAAAAATCATCTACATTAATCATAGGTCATGAAGCCCTTCAGTCTTATTGGGGGCCGTAACGTGAAATAACGGCGAATGCGCCAGCGAACTATGCAAGTTACATCGATTAGCTGAATAGGATCTGGAATACAGGGTAGGTATCCTTTTCACTTGATTCCACTATCGCTATCTTGAAAATCTCCCCATCTGTACTTAATTAAATATACCGCTGATTAGTAGGTAACTCTCAAAGACGTATCTATCGAAAATTTTCGACCAAGTGATGTAGATTTTCTTGCAAATAGGGCATTCGATGTAAATAAAAGTTTAGCTCTAATCAAATCCCTAGAAATCGAAGCGGCTTATAAGATTTCCGAACCGAAAAAACTGTGTTCATACGATAAGAGCAAATAGAAGAAACTGCTAAAGACTCAATGAAAGAACTTTTCTAAAAAATACCAGAATCAAACAAGAAAACTTGAAACAAGTACGTGAATCAAGCGTGAATCTTACCGCTGCGGAAGAAGAGAACATTATAAGCGTGACGGTAAAGTACGGTTAAGATCTCGTTTTTTTCTTCTGGTGACTCCTAGTCAATGGAGACGTTCTACTTTATCCAGGCGAACATATCTAGTAGGTACAAAGGCAAAAACTGCATCAGATTTGATCAGCTTGAAAAGCTCCTGTCATAGAAGCCTCCGATTTGATTTGGAACGGATCAAGAACGGAGTTCCGAATAGCTTAAGAAGTGATCAATTAGATGATAGCGACATCATCTAAAGGCAGGCGGTAATAGATCGCCAACAAAGTTATTCTTGAGAAGTCTTTAATTGAATGCATATTGTTCTATGTAAAGCGCGTCAGTCAGTTAGTGTGAATAATACTCCTGTGGAAGAATACAAACTTAATCTAGAAACAAGACGCAAAATGGAACAACAAATATACTGATCCATAAACCATCAACAGAATTGATATAGAGACATCTCCAAAGCCATCAGGAAAGATCTAAGGCAGTTTATAAAAGACCAAATCATACAGACCATTGAAAAATATAACAGTATGAAAGTGATAAAAAGGAAATTTACACGTGGCAAAAAGGAAATCTTTAAACCGAAGAATCCACAACCAACAGAAAAAAGTTTATTCAAATAGTCGAAAAATTCTACAGAACTTTATATAACAATCAACAGACAATGATTCAAATACACTACAAAGAAAAGTCCAAAACCAAATTAGGAAATATCTTTGTAATTACAGAAGTTATTAAAATAGGAGGGCCAACACTAATTGGGAAAATTTAAAATCTAGTTCAATCTGTGTCTGCAGAGTCATAAGTCATAACATTCAACAACTCAATTATGATCTTGCTACATAAAAAAGGTGAGAGATCAGACCTCGAGAACTACAGACATCGGTACCAACGATCATCTTCAGTATCTCCTCATAGAAAAGCGTATTGAATACAACCGTCCTTTGGTATTGGTGTTTGTAGACAAAAAGGCGGAACTTCGTGCAATCTAGAGATCACTACACCAACAGAAAAATTAAAATCAAAAGAGGAATCCGACAGGGTGACACTATGTCACCCAAGCTGCTCATCACAGTTCTTGAAAAGGAATAATCATCGATGGGGAAAGTCTTAATAATCCTTGCTTTGTAGATGATATTGTCCTAATATCAGACAGTCTGGGCGAAGCTAAAGAAATGTTCCAGGAACTTCAAAATTCCATGCAAGAAGTGGGTCTAAAGATAAACTTCTCCAAACCCAAATACAGATAGGAAATAATAACATAGAAACAGTGGACAAGTAGGTACGTATATACCTGGGCTATGAGATGAGAATTCACAGAAATAGCTAAACATGCGAATTGACGAGAAGAATAATCTTAGGGAATGTGTAGAGGGCTGACATTTCAATATTCCTGTAACGAAAAGCATTCAACCAGTGTGTCCTCCCAGTCCTGACCTATGGTGCGGAGACATTGACTCCTACCAAATCATAAGCAGAAAAACTGAGAGTAACACAGAGAC